ATCCTAACAGAGTAAACAGCATTACTGCAATACAAGCAGTGGAAGCAGATGAAAGCTCCCAGTGAGCCAGAGTTAGCTCATGAGGCACTGTGCAGACTGGGACAGGCCTCGTTGTCTTCTCTGCTGATCAAAAACAACCACTGCACATTTTGAACCCAATACCTTTTGAACTCGACTGACCCATCATCATCCAAATCAAAACTCCTATCTCAGCTACTTGAGAGATCTAAGTCACTGAAATAGCTTAACCAATTGGTCTTCACCCTCTGTGATGAAGATGTGCAAACAACCCAAGTCCCATGATTCTTAAATTTCTCCAAACCAAATGAATTGAGGACTTGCAACAGATAAGGATGTATGCTCAGACTTCAAAAACATGCTGTTAAGACAATAACAGCACTGAATTTATACAGGCCTGCTTGCTGCAACCTGACTGATCACAATTCAGAAACTCTTCCTCCCCAATTTGCCACCTACCCTCAAAAAACTTTCAAGGCATTAATAAAAACCAAGAGGCCAAACACACAAAAAAATTCCCAGACATCATTAAAGTTGCTATACACACAACGTATATCTCTATTTTGAATGATACACTCATATTAATTGTTTCTCCCTAAAGTTAAAAGAAGCACCTGCTCACTGGCAGGTGAAAAGATTAAAGCAGACTCCTGATTTGACTAGCAATCACTGCTCACTGTCACCTCCACATCTGTATCCTACAACTGCCTCCAAGCCCAGGAGCCACAGGATACTGACACTTCATGCTTAACCAACTTCTCTGACAGTGTCTCAACACTGTATTTTTAACTCTTAAAGCCAGAGAATTCACAGCATTAAAAACCTTACAAGACCAAGATTAGTAGGATACAGTTCTCTTGCTTTGTTCCCACAGTCAAGTTTGAACAGGAGCTTGTCATAACTGTTCCTAGAAATCATTGGTTGCAATCCTTTCCAGCCAGTATTCTCAACTAAAAGGTGGTAAAAAGGGTCAAAAACCACTGTATTTGTGATAATACTGAAATCCCATGCACTACTGCCAAATATACATCATGGCTTAGAGCTACCTCACTGATAAATTATCTAGCCCAGTACACAAGGCATTTTAGGATTCTACTTTGGACATGAAAGCCCACTGTACTTCAGCACTGCCAAGTAAATAAGAATATCAGCTTATTTCAGAAGTCCTGAGAATCTGGAGCTAAGCACATGGCTTTAGTTTAAAAAAAAAAAAAAATTAATCACAACACCTACTGTAAATGCAGCAATTCTAATGAACAGAAGAAATTAATAAAGCTCTGGAACAGGGAATTTTGTAACTAAAAGGCAGGGCACAGTTCCCTAGTGTATAGCTGGCAAACAATTAGGACACTGGTGCATGGAACAGTGAAAAGGGCCCTGTTTAGAAACACATAGTACAAGGACAGAAGTTCTTCTGAAAACACTAGAATCTGGACAAGTGGCCCAGGTACTAACAGTTGTAATTCCTGCACAAAAGCATAAAGATAATTTGCATCTACTGTGCACAGTTGTTTAACCTCACCCTTATAAGCAGGGATGCTGCCTTTACCATGTGAACATGAATCTGGAGCGGTGAAGATCCTAAGCTGGCTCAATGATCCTTTGCTTTATTGGGACTTCAGCTTGAAAATGGCTTTCAAAAAAAATACAGACATGCCTAGACATACATTTCAATTCTATAAATTTAGAAATGCCACAGTGGCACAATACTAAAAGTGTCTGCCTTCTATTTGAAGTATGGAAAATACATTTTTGAAAAACTTTATTAGTTGCATTCTCTGCTTTAGTCTGCTTCCATTCTGGTAGAAAATCATCATGTAGCACTCAATTTTAAGCTCATGTACAGTAACAGTAATTCAAAAGCCACAGATTAGTTCCAGTGGATTCAAACCGAATTTAAAAAATGATGCAACATGGGCCATAAAACACATTTAGTACCAGAACTAGCCTTTAAAAAGGATACCTACTTAAAAAGCCTGGGATAATGTTCCAGCACACCAAAAATAGTGCACAATTCCAAAAATGCACCAAAAGTCATCGTGCCTTTTATTTTCAGACTTATTCTATTAGAAGTGAAGAACGTACACTTGTGTACCAAAAGATCCAACAGTTTCAGAAGGTTGTCTAAAAAGTATCCCTGCTATGTAGAGAACTTTATGATGGTGGTAATGGGTGGTAAGGTAGAAATACATCTCTGAAAAGTGTTTCCCTTAAAACAGAGTCACAAGCTCATGGTGTTAGAAAGCTACTTACACTGGACAGAGAAGCAACAGCCTTTTTTCTCTTCAGCATAAACATTTTAGCCTGTTGTGTCTCTCTAGTTTTTGAAATGAACTGTATCTACAAAGTTATACTCAACTCTGGTGCCCTTCACTCTCTAATACAGGAACAAATCAAAGCACTCAAGCAGGCACACACAGCCCCATGTCACTGCCTGCTCTAGCAACAGCTCTGAGGAGCCTGGAGGTAACTATAAAGGGCTTATGTAAAATTTTGGTGGAGTTCTGGCCTATGAATCACATAACCTCAAAATAATTTATTACTACTCAACACCTCTGTGAGTTTCCTCAAGACTAAAATTTTCCTAGACTTATAACATTCCTACCCCTGTGCAACTACAGCAGTACAATTAGCAGGACACAAAAATTGTAGCCCATGCATTCTTAACGTCACTGTTTTCAACTAGTGGCACTATACAGACAAATAAATTTGAACTATCAGTCTCCCCACAGTAATGCTTCAGTGATTCACTAATCATAGAATTATAATGGTTCTCACCTCACTGCATTTTAAAAACACGACGTTGCTGTTCCTACAAGCACCTTACCAGCTCTTGTTAAATTAACCTCAGTTAATGTAAGAACTAAATAGATGTCAGGACAGGGCAGAATATTAAATATTAATATCACAGTTTTAAGAGGCCTGATTCTTAATTATCAACTTTTCAAATTTTTAAACACACATTGTTTAGTTTGTATTCTGTGAATTTATTTAGGTTGCATTGCAAAACTCTGCAATACAACCAAATTTCAGAACCTAAAAATACACTAGATCTTGATTTTATGCAACTCAACCAATGCTCACAATCATTTTAAAATCATATCTGATTCAAAACTGCCAAGGGACACATTCCAGGCTCCGTGGTGAATTTAAGAAAGAAATAGCTCCTTTTACTTCAAACCAAGTTTGTTTTACACCATTACTGACAAAACATTTTTAGCTGTAATCTAGAAGCTGTTGATGCTGAATAGTACAGATGCCTCTAAGATCAAGTCGTAAAAGTGAGCTACTTTTAGAAAAGAATCCAGTTGAATAAGCCTTTTTCCTTCCAACTTCAGATGTCATCTGCCTTAGCTGTGCAAACCATACAGAATTACAGAATGGGTCAGGTTGGAAGAGTCCACAGTGGGTCATCTGGTCCAACCTCCCTGCTCATGCAGGGTCGTCCTAGAGCACAGGGCACAGGATTGCATCCAGACAGTTCTGGAATATCTCCTGTGAGGGAGACTCCATGACCTCTCTGGGCAATCTGTTCCAGTGCCTGGTCACCCCCTCATAGTAAAGAAGCTGTTCCTCATATTCAGGTGGAACTTTCTCTGCATTAGTTTCTGCCCATTGCCTCTTGTCCTATTGCTCAGCACCACCGAGCAGAGTCAGGCTCCATCCTCCTGACACCCTCCCTTCGGGTACTTATAGACATTGATGAGGTCTCCTCTCAGTCACCTCTTTGAGGTCAAACAGACCCAACTCCTTCAGCCTTTCCTCACAAGAGATGCTCCAGGCCCTTACTCATGGTTGTCACCTGACATGCAGCATGTTATACCTCAGTGTTCATGCTGATTGCTGCTCTTCCTTACTTAGATCATTGTAATTTCTTAAAGAGGACTTCTAAAGTGACACACAAAGCTGTCTAAGATATTAATGCTTCAAAACTTTGAATTCCCATCTTCCATTTTTAAAGTTATATATTTCTCAATTGACAGGAGGTCAGTGACAATCTCCATGCAGGAAGATTCTTTACTCTTAAAGCTGTTCCAGCAAAATGCTTGCAACTGAGTTGAACAGCTACAGGAGGCAAGTGGTAGAAGTTTTCTTTAGTCTGTTCAGTATTGATTCAAAGGAATTGCATCTGATGTGTCTTTTTTTTTTCTTGTATTTGATATTTAAGTACCTGAAGTTTCTTCTTTCAATGAATACAAGAGTTTGCCCTTTCTTACAATAATGAGTTTCCTGGTTAGAAGTTTGTGGCCTTTCAGTACCTGCTTTAACAAAGGACTACCTGCTCTGTTAGAGGGCTTCCTCCCCTACTTTTCCTTTTTTTTTTCCCTCCAGTGCTTTTTGCACTAGAAGTTTGATATGAGGGATGCCTCTGTATCAACCTAAACCAGGTCAAGTTATTCAATGTGAAGAAACAGGGTTTTATTCATGCCTAAAAAAGTTGCATATTGCTTTCAGGAAACAAAAGAGGACACTTGATCATCATTCATTAAGAACTGAAAGTAAAATTAATCGTACATCTAAAGATTTAGCATTTATCTGCCTAGGACCCCTAAAGAAGAAAAAGAAAGTAATAGGGAATACTTTGCCTATTGCACCTCTAGTGAAAATGAAGCTGTTGACTAGTCTAGACAGTTGTGATGCCTAACTTTAAGACACTAAAGAAGAGATTAATTTTATCTCAACTGACCAAACAACAGCACTTTGTAACTGCCTGGTTTGCAGCAAAGAGAATGACCTTCACTCTAACCAGGGAGTTCCAGTTCCCACCAGTTAGGGAAATTAAGGATTTTTAAACCAGTCAGACACTGCCTGGCCAGGTTACTCATTATGTACCTTGTTCCCTTAGGCTCTTTTTCAAGCTCTGGAGAACAGAGAAGAAAACTGTTATGCCCACTCTGTGGAACATTTCAGTACAGCACCACCTTTTTTTTTTTCTTCATTTAAAGTCAAAATGCAAAATGCCTTTTTCCCCCCCCATTCTCATCTTACAGCCACCTCAGTTGGCAGACATTGGTTTAGAGAGAAGAGATTGGACTTCTGGTGAAATAAAGGACAAGTGCAAAAGTTCCCTTGGTCAAAGTAAGCGTGGAGAAAAACCCAGTATAGAGCACAAGTCTGCCAGGAGGACTTAAAAGGTAAGTTTATACAATGGGAGGGGGAGAAAGAGAAAGGGGTTTTCTGCTCACACTCAGCTGATGAGTACATTTGAAACTGAGCACTGTCTTACTAAGTTTTTTGCAATGAGTGTTTGGATTTTTATGTTAGTGATAGATATGGAAGAAGGAGAGAAATCTGTATAATAAACCCATTAAAGACACTTATACACCCATTAACCATCTTTTCACTAGTCCTGAGACTAGTCAAGCACCTAGAAAATTTTAGCCTTGGGACATCCAAGTATTAAAGATTGAGTAGTCAGTACCTCTACATGCTTATAAAAATCTCTGCGCGGCAAAAAGCAAGTTTAAAGGAAATACAGTGTAAAAGTAAAAAGAGATCTATACTACATCTGTGACTGGTAACTGCAACACAAACAAGGAAAAAAAACAAACTAGCTTTTGAGGCAACAGCTTGGATTTCAGCAGTCACACCAGAGGCTGAGGCAAAGCAGCTGAAGTTACTGCAGTTAGTTATGCCTTTACTGCATTGCTTTCCAAACAGACTAAATTAAGAAATCATACTTAGGATGTCTGTTCTATAAATATCTCTGTTTCCATTTAAATGCACATGTAGCCCATTTTAAATATCTCCTGTGACAAACTGTTTAATTGAAATATGCATGGAGCAGGTAGAAAAAAAAATACCAGTCCAGTCTCCAGAGAGGAACAAAGTTAGACAGGGAAATATGCCCAAATTTTACCAAGATCTTAAAGTACTTTTTTTTGCAAGCAACTACATAACAGAATTACATATCTTGATTACATTTTGTGTTGGAAATGTCTGTATTGCTTTGATATGGGGCAGAATCGTTAAAAAAGAAAAAGAGGGGATTCATTCCCAAATCTGGTAGCGTATCACACAGAGGTGTGCCTGCACAAGAGGGCAGAGGAGCAAAAATAAATCACAGGAGCAGGCAAGATTACCTTAAAAATAGAGCAGCTTCTTGTCAATTTATTGCAGGTTCAGATTATTTTTTTTCTGAGGCCAAACAGGCAGCAGTAAGTGCCTGCTGGATGCATTCAGTTCCAGCTAAAGAGACATACTGCTTAAACCTCAGAGATTTCCCCACCCCCCAGTAATGTAAAAATCCCAGGAGCTGCAATTTCTTTAAGCACACACTACTAATTTATTTGGAACCATTTTCAATGAACATCAGAGGATTGCCTCAATGAAGAAAACAGAGGGGTTTGAGACAAAACTGCAACATTATGATTTAATGAAAAAAAAAAAAGAGGTGTCTCTCCTTTATGTTTGAGAGACAAGACATGCAGATCTCTTTCCTTTCTAAAGATACTGCTAATGAAAGGGTCTGGACTGAGTATGCAAGAGGATGCAAGTACAGGGGTCAATATTCTGTGTCAAACTGCTGACTTCCTTACCAGAACTGTAAAACAAGGTTCAGGAAAACACCTTGAGCCTTACAAATTCTGGACAGTTGTTTTTTTTTTAAGCCAGGTACTTACCCACATTATTCTACTGAAAAGAAAAATTCTTCTAGATAAAGAGAGAAAGAATGCCAATTTAATTGCACTTCTGTTTCTTGGACCAGAGAGAATTCAGGAACTTTATCCTAGCACTACTTTAAAGGAAAACAGAAACTTCACAGTGAGACAATGTAGGCAGTACAGACAAGCATCTTGCTAACAGCAGACTCATGCAGCAGTGCTATCGTCCAAGATGTGAAGCAACAATAAGTGCCTGGGCCAAAAAATGTCTCATCTCTGGAAGGAACTTCTGCCTTTAGATCAGAATTCTAGATCGTTGCTTATCAAACTGTATTATTTAAACAAAAATCTGCTTCCAACTCTGAGGGAAGACCCTGAGCCAAAGAGGTAGAACACAATCCAGTACTCTGAGAAATCCTAGCAAACACCCCAACCCAATGCTGCAGTATCTGGGCATCAGCCAGAGGAATCCTTGTCACAAAAGGTGTAAGGTTAAAATGCAATGCAGCTAAAAAAAGAGACCAACGCACAGCCAAAATGTGAGATAAGAATATAAACTGGTATTAGCAAGTCTAGTTCTGAGAGGACATCCTGGGCATTGAAACACCTTTTACAGGATCCTGTCCTAAGCAATAGCAAGGATTTAAGCTAATAGAGCAACTCTGCTTTTTACTAAGAGTAACAGTTACTACAAAGAGGGTGAGAGAAATCAATTAATTTAAATAGATATTGCCTGCTGCACATTTTAATCTGATTGCCTTTGGGGTTTCAGTGGTTTTTAAGCTCCCACATGGCATGATCTTTCATGACTTTCAACAGTAGACCATTCTTATCATTCTTCCCTCTGATCTCTGTGTATGCATCCAGATAAAACAATCCTTACAACTTAAGGCACAGCAGGACTATAGCTGCCACCTCAAAACATCCCTAAACATGCCTAGGAAAGTAGCAAATGAAGGGGTTGAAATGGAGATGCTAAACATCTTCCAGAAACCACATTTACCTTCCAACATACATTAGAATGAAATGTGTTTGTAAGCAGTGCTGGATTCCCCTACGTAGGTGTTTTCTGGCTCTACTTTGTTGTTGTTAGTTCTGTTTTTTCTGTCCTTTCAAGTACTAAATTTCTCAACTGGTTCACCCTTCACCCGCAACTGTAGACATGGTCTAAACTTCTGAAGTCTGCTTTGAAATGAAAGAAAATCTTATATTCTTTAATAGGGAGCAAAGGACAAGCGCAGAAAACTCTATGGCTCTTTTTCACCTTGGTTCACAGAGCGGTAAAAAGAACGCCAAGAGTATTTTATTTCACATTCATGACACAGGTCTGCTTTCCACATTATAGAACACTGAATTCTCCATTATAGTTAAGACAGGTTTGTGTTTGAATTCCAGATAATACTGTCTTTTCCTCCATTGAAAGCGTTCCTTGAAAGTTATTCAAGTTTTGTTTGTGGTTGATTTTGTTTTGTTTTAAACAAACTGCTTTGCAACTACAATGGAATAAACAAACCCAAATATATCAAAGCACGAGGCCTTTCATCCTCTGCCTAGAAGCACATAAATGTACATTTCATTTTCTCTACCTTCCTGTCCTTCCCCCCTAAGTAAATCCTAGAAGCTCTCAAGCAGCAAATGAAACAGCAGGAAAAAAGTCAACAATTAAATTCAATCTGTGAACCAGCAGCAGCAGAGGACAATAGAAGGTGGTGTTGGACAGGCCAAAAAACTACCAGTGTTTCTCATCCACTTAGAATTTCAACAGTCAACCAAAAACAATGGGGAGAAAGGAGCATCAAGCAAAATAAACAATCGGTAAGTTGAACCCTGGTAAGACTCTACACAACTTTTTCTGCTACAAGCCTCTACAAAGCTTTCCAATTGCTAAGTACTTCAAAGACCAGGGAAAAGACTTGGGAATTTCCAAGCTGAGATCATCTCAACAGCTGATTCTCACCAACAGCCTAGTTCCTAGCACTTTTTAAGGAATGGGCAGGACAGTTACATCAGGCATCAATTCTGAGAAAAAGTGCCCATCCAAATTATACTGCTTTGCCTCTGGCCAATGTACATCTATAAGCAAAGTAAAAGGTACCACTAAGACTGTTTTGGTAAGATACTCCAGTTTGCTTTCACTGATCCAAACCACCTTCAGATCACATTATGCTGTAAGCTGAGTAAAAGCTAGATTTCAGCCTAATTGTTCATGTCTATTTTAAAAATTACAGAAAAATCCACCAACATCAAAAAAACCCAAACAAAAACACACCAACAAAAAATCCTAACAAAAACAAATCCCTCTGTGTATGTATATGTGTATATAAAAACTTACTGTAGCATCTGTTCAAAAAAACCCAAAATTACTATTTATGCCTTATTTCTTCCTCCTTTTGTGCTCCTCCAGTATTTCCCTTCAGACAAGGGACAGTCTTCTATTTCACCTGCAGAATTCATTACTTCCAATGTGAAGACCCTTCTTTCCACAGAAAGGAATTATCAATTATATCTGCCTTTTATAGTGTGAGGCATCAGGAATAAGAAAGAACTTTATTTTTCCGAAGCCAAACAAGTTCTTTTTTAAATCTGCAACTTCTCCAAGTTAATACACACAAAAAGACTTAAGAGGAATTCATTTGTGTAACAGAGAAAGAGGTAAGTCTGGGTTTTTTTTCCTTCCTTCACACACACGCACAGGTATTCTGAGAAATCCAGTGCAAGTTTTTCCTTCCCCAAGCAGCCACCTCACTACTTGAATGCTCAGATCAGAAGGTTCAACATGTTTTACTGCACTGGAGTAGTCCTCACAACACTGGAGACCACAAAGGAAATCTAGCCACAACCATACTGCACATTTCTAGCACTATAGTTCTGCTTCCTATGTTCAAGGTCTGTAGGTTCCCCTTAGCTTAGTCAGAGGGGCCAACTCAAATTCCTTGCTTGCCTTCTCAGCCTTATTTGGTTTCACCCACAATGCCTCCAGCACCACCACTACACTTACCAGCACTTACCTTCTGCTATTTATCTAGTTTTTCCACTGCATTGTTATAAGAAGAACCCCCAACACACTGAGTTGCTGAGGACCACTCAGAATTCAAATTATAAAAATCACTCTGGGTAACAATTTATGATCTGCCCTGGCAGGCAGCTAGGCCAAACTGCTCTGAATCTGTGATCCAGCTTTATTACAGAGAACAGTTACTAGCTAATCTTCAAGACTGAAATAGTTCCACCATCTCCCCAATGGCTTAGAAAATAATCTCTTATTATTCTAATGTGTTCTGGGTTGCTGGTTTTTTGTATTTTTTTAAACCCTATGTAATACCTTCTACTATACTGAAAGAAGAGTATGAACAGATGCAAAATTTTATTTGCGCTCACACATTTTACACAGCCTTCTGACAGATGTTTGGTGAGTTCAACCATGCTGTAACTTCCCACCCATCCCAAAAAAACCTCTAATCAGCTTTTTTTTTTCCCCTATACACACTTGCACAGTACTGGTGCTACCCAGCTGTGCTCCTTTGCTGCTGACAGTAGTGGCTTTAGACTCAGGAGCGAGGAGGGACTTACACTGGTCACTCGGCGGTAGATCTGCGCAGCATTTTGGCACTCGGAATAAGGATACTCAGACGTGGCCATCTCTAGCATACACATCCCAAAAGCATATACATCAACGGATTCATCATATTTCTCCTCATACATCTCGGGGGCCATGAACTCTGGGGTACCTTAAATTAAAAGAACGATTCAGACTCTAAATGTCTCAAAGCGAGCAGAGGCTGCTGGCGTTACTCACCGCAGGAGGGAGCGGATGGGCAGACCTGTGAGACAAGAGAAAGTGGAGGCAAAAAGAAGAGGGAGGAAACCCTTAGTGACTCTGTTGCATCAACACACTCTGTGAGTCTTCCATTGCAAGGCCTTTGTGGAATAAGAATGGCGTGAAAGGACTGACGCGAGTCCTGGCTTAGGTACGCGAGTTGATACAAGTATCAAAACAGACTGGATTAGCCTGAAATCAGATGGGAGGGTAGGGGATAAGAAAAGGGAATACTGTAGACTAGCCATAGGCTGCAAACCAAATACTAAGGAGAGTTAAGACACTTACCTTTTCTCCCTGTAAAAAAGGAAGCACATTAAACCTTGTTTCAAAAATTACCCAACTGCCCTCTGCTGCAAAAGAAGTAGTACTGGTAAGAGCCCACAGCTAGTCTCTGACCTGGTGCTCTCCATCTACTTTTTGAAGTAGAATGGTTTAGGTAAGGCCTTGCAATGAAAAACTCCATTGTTACAAATATAAATCTCCATGAAAAGAGGATAAAAGGTAATTTTCTGCAAAGGCCACTCACCAGAGCCCTTTTCTTCATATACTTACCTTCCCACCTGCAGTATATTTATAGGCCTACTGCAGATACAGGCATTAGTGAGGGACATCCTACAGTCAAAAATACTCAGAAATACAGAGAGATTGAGTTACAGGCATAGAGCGTGAGATTCAACAAGTCCCATTTAAATAGTGTGCAGAAAATTATTGCCCAGTGAAGCATCACAGCAACCCCTCTGTAAACAAAGAGGCTGCATTGTTTGATCAGATTTACTTTAAGCCAGAGATGTAAGTTTGCTTTTTGTAAATTTAAGCACAGAATTATTTCCTGCAGACACCAGATTCAAGACAATTTACAGATCATTCTATAGCCACATTGTTTGTTTTCACCACACTAAACCAAAAAAAAGACTGTAATTGCAGCCATTTATCCAAAGGCTAACCATTACTACATAACTAGATGGTAATTTTTCCAGTGATAAATTTGACAATATGACAAGTATGCTTCAGAAATTATTATTTTTTTTAAACTATACTTTGCTTTCCTGTTAATATTTTGACCTGGTTAAGAAGCAGGAAATATTTCAGCGACAGCTTGCAGGACAATTTACAGGTATAGACCATTGATCCCATCTAGGAATCTGGCATAGGACTGTTGAGTAATGCTGCATTTTAGCAAGCTCTAAATATTGAGAGTGAGAACAACTTCATTCCCTGCAGTCTATTCACCCAACTATAAAAACAAAGCTGATAAAACCAATTCTTTTAAGAATTCACAAGAAAGACCCTTGTTTCTGATTACTCACAATCTGCAAGAGGTTTAATATGAACCCCTGGTGACAATAAAAAAAAAAATTTGGCTCTAAAAACTAACGCTACACTGAATACCAAAATGTTGTTTGGTCACCAAAATCTATTTGTACACTTCTTGAAGCATCATCATATCAAAGCCGAGATTTATAAGCAGTCAAGAGTGGTTTTATCAACAATGTTGCACTAAACTGTTGGGCAGGACAAGGACTCTGTATTCCAAAATACTTAATATTAATATACAAATATCAAAAGCACAACCAAAATTTCAACATGTCGTTGCATCAGGGACACAGAATGACCTCAGCAACCAAGAAACAAAGCCTACACATTTTTTGGCTTTGACCCTGTACCTTTGCAACCATGTTTTTATAGAAAGCTCTTAAAAGGCTCTGCAGCCTCCAATACAGGAGAGGCTTACCTATCACACTTTTGGCAAAAGAAGCTCGTTTCAGGGTTGCCAGACCGAGGTCTCCAATCTTGACTGATCCAGTGGGGCCAGTAATGAAGATGTTGTCACATTTTAAGTCTCTATGAATAATGGGAGGAGTGCGTGTGTGTAGAAATTGTAAGCCTTTCAGTATCTGACGGCACCAGCTTCGTAGTACTTTAATTTTCATCACTTTAAATCTTTTCAAATACCTAAGGAAAAAAGTAACAATAGGTTACCAACTTAGTAGATTCTGCTAACAGGCAGTAGATTAAACTATACCATTTGGTGTTTGGAAGCAAAGAAACAGTAATTAAAGACATGCACAAATTTAAACTTCATCTTCTATTTTAAAATCTACCTGGGCGTTTCAAGACTTCAGAGGAGCTAAAGATGATTCCTCCTCCTAAAACCCACCTCCTTTTCTTCTAGACAGGGGACTAATGATTAAAGATATATATGAAAAGCCTAACATAGAGCTAATAACTCATCTGCATACAAAATCATCCTATGGTAATTAGACAGTTGGCTTGCTAAGTTTCAAGGCATTGCTTCCATGACAGAGAATTCAAGGTTCGTGACTTACAGCAATACTTTATCTATTTAATTGCCTAAACAGTTACAACCTTTACCTTGATTTATTAGAACTGGGTGGGGAGGTGGGTCATTAAATGCAAAACACTAATAACAACAACTAAGTACAGAGTTGGGGCAAGCTGCAAGAGCTCTGAAGTCATTTTTCCTTCCTTCTCAGCAGCAGTCTAAGCACTCCAGTCAAGATTTCCATATTATGCTTTAAATCTGCTTCAAATTTACTGGTGGAGTTGTCAAGCAAATGGGAAGTTCTTGGAGATTGCTTCCCTGGTGCAGGACAGGGTTTGATCACCTGAATCTGACTGGTACTGCTCACCACTTCAAAACTACAGACAGCCATGGACAGGGCAGAGAAATTTTTAAAAAGGCTCTGCCAAATAATTGAGGTGGAAGAGTTCATACCTAAAGCCAGTACTCCCTCACAGTTGGAACGTGACCCAGCACCTTAACAGTTCTATCTTGCCACACTTTGAAATCCCATTTCAGAAGAGTCAAATTTCATACCAAAAATATTTTCCAATGCTTGTAACCTAAGACTGTGATCTTATTCTATTACTTAACTTCAACAGATTAGAGATGCCACAAGGTGAATAACCTTATGACAGCATTCAAGTGCTTTCCAGCAGTGTTTTCTCACAACTTCTCTTTGGGTAACACAATTTGAAGTGAAGAACTGTTTTCTTCCTTTTGAAGAAGTACAGGCTGAAATACATTCAGGAGAAAGGAAGTAGCATGCTCTGTAGAGCAAGGACTTTATTCTTATTCAGCCAATGTTACTCAGTCAAAGTCTCAGATAAAGACCAGTTTCACAGTATTGCAAGACTGGTAGCAAATTCTGTGACCAGCATGGAGTCTAGCAACTACAGTCTTCAACTAACAGCAAGTCATGTTCAATTATTCGGTGGTACTGTTCAGTTTACTCTGCATATCCACTTCATCAGGAGATAAAGTCTAGATGAAATCACTTGAATCATTGCCAACATAAAAATGCAGTGTATTAATCCCTTTTACTTTCATTTCTCCAGTTCAAAAGAAGATCTGGAAAATCAAGTTGCTAGCAATAATCCTGCTGTGAAAATAGATCTGTAAAAGCAAGTGGGACACAGTTCCAGAGGAAATCAAGTCTTAGAATATAAAGACAGGCAGAGAAAAAGCCAAGCCAAGGAAGGAGACAAACTGAAGGAGGTTCTGAATCACATCAGCTACCACTTGAATTCTTGCTATTGACACAACCCTCATTCATCTCTCTTGAGCCTGATCCAAAGATCACATGGTAGGGGCACTTCAGTTCAGCATCTGGAATCCCTAATTACATTCTTGGTTTCAAATATGCTTGCCTACTGCCAGCTTCTCACTGCTAAAGGACCTGGGTCCAACCATCACCCAGCATCCTACA